CAGATTTTCCTTACTGTTGAACTTGATTCTTTGGATATCTTAGTAGATCATAGTGCAGCACCAATTGAGGTGCCTGTTGAGGAACTTCGACCCATCCAATCGCAGCCAAGTACACGAGAGGGAGTGAAATTTGAAGAAAGAGATATGGATAAATTTGAACCTAAGTTTGAAGATTTTGATTCAAATAGTAATTGGGGGGGATGATTAGCGACTAGTGACTTTTGTATCGAACTGCTAAATAACATTTTCAAAATATTTAAAAATGTAATTCTATTGTTGTACATGGTAATTTTTCTTATATGTTTGTGATATTTAGTTTTTGTTTCAAGTTTGACAAGTTGTCGAAGATTTATTTTTTTTGTTTGTTGAACTGTTCATGTGATTTTGTTGAACTCTTCAGTATTAACTCATACAATAACTTGTATTAACTCATTCAGCTACCTATTACTCCATTTCACCTGGCAAAACTAATCAGATAACCTCTATTCTTTGTCTTGTCAATTATCAAAATTTGAATTTATGAAAAAGATTACATTGATAATGCATGCTATATGTGTAGGATGTCTTCTAGCAGAGGCCAGGGGCTTGATAGGCGTGGACTTAGCGACAGGCACACTATTGACCAGGTGCCTCGGATGTTTGACCAAGCAGCTAATGAATTCTATATTTGAGACAAGTCAGAGGCTAGTAGGCGGACAGTGGATATTGCCCTGCACTGCACCTGTAGGCCAGCCTTCTCCATCTAGTGTTGAACATGCTGGCCACCCTTCTCTTTCCAGCACAGCACATACAGGTCAGCCCGAATCTGTGACTTCTAAACCTACCCATATTGATGGCCGCCAACATATCCAACCATTTCACGATGAGTAAACTTTGCTTCTAACTTGGTCTAATTTTATTATTTAGTCCTAATTTATCAACATATTACTGTAACTGAACTTCATTCAATTTGCATTTGACAGCTTCATTCTCGAGGGTATCACTTGCCAAATAATGTCCATTCTTAGGAGGTATCTAGGGTCACATGCAACATGGGAGCAAGTCCCTTAGGATAGGAAGGAGAACCTATTTAATAAATTTAAGATGATACTATGTATATCCAAACAAATATTTATTCTACATAACAAGAATCTCTAATTTACATATTTACAATTTCACAAAACTATTCTAATTTTGATAGGAGATATACATGTGGTTGCCACACCATGACGTCGGTATATGGCACTCATGGGAGTAAACCCACAAGAGAAATTACAAAAACACAATTTATAAAATAAAGAAAACAGCAATTTAGCAAGTTGGAAGTGATGATCCAAGGGATCTAATGAGAGCAGTGCCTAAATACATGCTCGCTATTGACTGGGAGACAATCTGTAATGGCTGGATGAATGCACCAAACTATCAGAATAAGTGCATAAAAGTTAGGGAGAATAGATTGATTGGGAAAGATGGATCAATTGTAAAGCAGACCGGCGGTTCCATTTCATTTGCCGAGCACAAACGTAGAATGGTAAATTTCTTATCAAAGTCACAGTTTAGTTACATTTATTTATATAATTTATTCACTTAATGAATTAATACACTAGGAACAAAATGGGACGAGGGTCAGCCAAGTTGCAGTCCATGACCATACTCACCGGAGAAAATAAAGAGAGGGTGATTATGTCGACAACAAGTCGAAGAGGGTTCGGTAAGCTTCTAATGCCAAATTCACAATATATTAAAATTCACTACCATAATTTTCAAGAGATATATGTTTTTTGTGCTGCTACTATTCTTGACAAAGTGCTTAAAACATTTGATTTTTCACTGGACCTATTATATCATGTGATTCTTAAATTTGAAGGTGTTTTACTTCTTAAATTAGAATGTGGCTTATATACTTTGTTTAGACAAATAAACTTTCAATAACTTCTAATACCTATTATATGAGGTTGAACTGAGATTTGTTTGTAACTAAACAGAATCCTACTTGTAACTGAATAGAATCCTACTTGTAATTGAAATAATGGTTGCTTGTGTGATGGGATTAAAATTCGTTTTATCAATGAAGATTTATGCACATAACTGAACTTAGATGTGTTTGTAACTATGCGGGCCTCTCTTTGTAACCATACAAATATATGCTTGTAACTGAACAAGTCATTGTCTATAAGAGTTGGTCCTAGTTTGGTTGAATAGAGGGACATATTTGCATGTAATTGAAAGGAGATATGCTTGGAACTGAATTGAGATCTGCTTGTAACTAAACAGAACTCTGCTTGTAACTGAACCAATGGATGCTTGTGTGACTTGGAATTATGCTTAGTTTTATAATTGAAGATATATACATGTTACTGAACTTAGATGTGCTTGTAACTATATTGGCTTCTTCTTGTAATCATACAAAGCTATGCTTGTAACTGAACAAGTCATTGCCTTTAAGAGTTGGTCCTAGTTTAATTGAATAGAGAGACATATTTGCATGTAACTGAAAGGAGATATGCTTGGAACTGAACTGAGATCTGCTTGTAAATAAACGGAACCCTGCTTGTAATTGAACTAATAGATGCTTATGACTTAGATCTGTTCAGTTATAAGCATAGCTTTGCTTAGTTACAAGCATAGTTTCGACTGGTTACAAGCATATCTCAGCTGAATTACAAGCACAATTCTGTTTGTCTTTCTTACTAAAATCTATTTTTTTGTTTCTTCTATTCTAGTCTTATTATCATGTAAGGTAACGTGATTACTTGTCATTGATTTATTTTAGGAGGAGTATGAACACTCATATTGTAGTCGATATGGCAGTAATCCTACTCTAGATAGCTCATTTGATGCACATAAATGGGTTGCAATTTATGATGGGTCTTGTAAGAATCGAATTTATAATTTTGAGAACACCTATCATTACAGAAAGCTTGTTTCTATTGGCAGTTCATCTAAATCCATCTTTACAACACCTCCTTTTGGATATGTCAGTTCGGATCAATTACAAGAGGCAATTACTAAAGCGTTTGTAGAGGAGAGACAAACAGTAGTATCAAGAGAGGCACAAGTGTTTTAGGAGATCAAGAAATTAGTAGAAGAGACATTGAAGGCCAGAGAAGAGGCAATGAAAGCTAGGGAGGAGGCTATGATGGTTGCAATAGCTGCAATGATGAAAAAGTTCAATACAATACAAAGAGGATCATCAACCCAAAATGAGAGTACTGGAGAAGGTAATAAGCAGTGAAGTTACAATTTAACATTGTTATGTTTTAATATTTTACATTCTTATTTCATTTTTTATGTTCCAAAATAGTTATCAAATTGTATTATTAAAGATTTTGACATTTCAAACTAATTGTACTATCATGTTTAATTACTTTTCATGTATGCTATTAGTGAATTACAATTGAAATGATACAAATGTATAACAAGAATTATTATAATATATTATGGGAATTGAAATGATATATATGTATTTTAGCAATTACAACATCAGTGACCCCTAAAATGGGTCACAAGGAGGTCACAAAATTAGTGACCCAATTGTGACCTTGCACGCAGTTACGATAATAAGGTTAATGGGGTCGCTAAATAGTGACTGACTAGTGACGGAAAAATTGCAATCACTGATTACTTACCACATTCCCAGTTACTAAATGTGTATCTAATTTTGTTATAAAAATGGTCACTAAATAATTAATGACCACTACAATCGGTCACTAATCAGTGACCGCCACAATTGGTCACTAATTAGTAACCGCATGTTTTTCGGTCACTGATTAATGATGAAAAAACTGCGGCACTATTTAGTGACTGAAATAATGGCGGTCACTAATTAGTGACTGATTATATTTGGTCACTAATTAGTGACCGCCTTGTCAAAAAATCGATTAGTGACGAGACTTTTTCTGACCGACCGTAGCGGTGACAAATGCGATCACTGATTTATTCATTGACCGCTGCCCTTTAAAATTAGTGATCGATCATGAGGTCACTAAATACCATTTTTCTAGTAGTGTTGTAGCATGTATTAGCCTTCAAAATTATATAGGACCAAGCATGAAAGAGGTTATATATAGTTGGAGGTTTTGTTTTATATTTCTCCCACAAAATTTTAAAGTTGATAAGCTTATTTAAAGCCATCTAGTACCATCACAATGAGGGAGTTGGAATATGAAAATTTAGGGAAGTATTAATTCTCTAAAGATAAGATGACCAGCCATAAAATGGGATCCTATAGGGTTACTTCAATAATTCCAATTGAGAACTTGTAATCGCACAGTAATGTGCCTAATATATATGTAGAAACAAGAGGGTTTGCAGACAATCTTTTTTTTTTTTTTCAAATAGAATAAAAATTCCATCAAGATTCCTTATCAACTCACATATATAAAAGTCTAATGAATTACCCATTAGAATCTAAGGAGGTGGGGACAAAACCATGCAAAGGGTTGTTTAGTTGGTCCAACACCATCAAAACTCTCAACTACCCCATTCCACCAGTGGAAGAAAGGAAGAAGATAGGAAACAAAGGGGAGAGCCTACTAAAAATTGGGTGTTGCCTGGCCAAGGACATAGTGATATGATTTTGACTTGGGTTTCATGGATTCAACTTAGAAAAACAGCATTTTTGTTATCTACATTTGACCCTTAACAGACTTGAAGGAGCCTGATGCAGGAACAGTTTGCTTAACCTTCTGTTTTTATGTTTTTTTTTTATAATTTTTTTTATTTTAGTATATTTTTTTTTTAACTTTTGAGTGTTTTTATTTGTGATAAGTGATCACATTACCAGTATGTGACTTTTGAATGAGGTTTAAACTTAAGATTAGTTAAGCCTTAAAAGAATGGGTTAGGTTTAGTAATTTGCTAATGACCCTAGTATAAATAATTCTAGAGATTTGCATTCAGTAGCTTTTTAGTCATATATGATAATTTCATATTTGAGAGATTTCTAAACCGTAAATTCCATTTTTTATCATTCCACATCAATCTATCCTACCTCTTTTCTTGAATTTTATTACTTTAGTTGCTGTCTACTATCTTCTATTGCATCAGGGCCTCATCCAATAGCTGCCATTTTTTGTATAATAAACTTAGGCAGGTTAGGTGAAATGTTAAAAAATTCTATATCACTTTATATGCTTATTCATATATTTATTTATTTATTTCTTGTCTGCATGCAGGCCATTGTGCAATCGTGCCATTCTGTCTAGTTTATGCAGTGTATGTTGCATTATTTCCTGTGTGTCCAGTATTATGCTCTATGTAATGCTCATATTCTATTTTGCTGACATTAATTTTGAGAATACATGAACTGCATATGGTCTATCCTTTTAAGATTGTTATAATAAGTTAGTAATCTAAAGAAAAAAAAGAATTTCTAGTTATCTTTTACGTTCATTTTTTGATGCGCTTGTCAGATACTGAAATGAATAGGGAGGAGCTTGGGAACATTATAACTGTGAGAGCAAAACCAGCTGGTGCATTGTTTGTGAAAAATAATGGCCATAGAGAGGATAAAGAGGAGTCCAGAACTGAACCTGATGTGGGCTTGGAATTCGATTCAGCTGAAGATGCACAGGAATTTTATAGTTTATATGCAGCACAAACAGGATTCAGAATTAGGATAGGTCAGTTGTACATGTCCAGAGTTGATGGGTCAGTTATTTCACGAAGATTTGTGTGTTCAAAGGGCGGTTTTCAGCCTAACTCCAGAATAGGTTGTCCAGCATTTATAAAGGTACAAAAAAATGATTCCTGGAAGTGGATTCTGGCCAATATCAAGAAAGAGCACAATCATGAGCTTGGACTGCCATGGGAAATTCGTCCGCCCCATATAAAAAGGAAAGCCCATCCAGCTCCAAGATTGACAAATGTAGCGTCCACCAGAACAGGAATAAGATCCCTTGAGGAGGAGGATGTATGCCCACTTCCTTCAGGTATTGTTGATGTCAAACCTTTCAAAAGGGAGAGGCAGAAGGAGTACCTAAAGTTGAACCTTACAAAGGTCTTGAATTCAGTTCTGCTAATGAAGCATATAAATTTTATTATTCATATGCAGCTAAAACTGGATTCAAAGTTCGCATTGGTCAATTGTTCCGTTCAAAGCATAATGGATCAATTACCTCTAGAAGATTTGTGTGCTCATAGGAAGGACATCAGCACCCTTCAAGAGTTGGTTGTGGTGCATTCATGAGGATACAGAGACAAGAATCAGGAAAATGGATAGTTGATTGTCTTCAAAAAGAACACAACCACAGTCTTGATTCTACAATGGATTCAACCAGGCTAATTGCTGCAGCTCTGAATGGCTTTAGAGAGGAAGCAGCTAGTGGCTTAGATAATTTGGATTTGGCTGAAGCAAATGGTCGCCTGAAGCTTGCAAAAGAGGTCGTAAAAGTAATATTGGAAGTGATTGTTACCCTGTGCTTGTTGATTATTTTCAATCTCGTCAGGCAGAAAATACAGGGTTCTTCTATGCAGTGGAAGTTGAGGATGGCAAATGCATGAGCATTTTTTGGGCTGATGACCCGTCTAGATTATTATGTAGCCAATTCGGGGACACCATTGTTTTTTATACATCATATAGGAGCAGTAGTTAGTCTGTGCCATTTGCTTCATTCTTTGGTATTAATCATCATAAGCAACCAGTGCTTCTTGGGTGTGCTTTGATTGCTGATGAATCCGAGGAATCTGTTACATGGGTGTTCCAAACATGGGTTGGGGCAATGTCAGGATGCCGCCCTTTGTCCATAATAGCCGATCAAGACAAGGCTATCCAACAGTCAATTGCACAAGTTTTTCCTGAAACACATCAGCGTTTTTCAATGTGGCAAATCAAGATGAAGGAACTGGAGTATCTGGATGCACTCCTTTCCATGAATACTAAGTTCAAATATTAATATGAGACTTGCATTTGTCAGAGTCAGACACCGAGTGAATTTGATCCTGCCTGGAGTATAATTCTTCAAAAGTATGACTTGAAAGAGAATGCTTGGTTGAAAGAAATGTATAGAACACGGAAAAGTTGGGTTCCATTGTATATAAGGGGTACATTCTTTGCAGGCATTGGGATGGATGGAAGCTTCAAATCATTTTTTAGCTCTTATCTGAATGCCCCAACACCACTTGATGAATTTGTTCTGCGTATGAAAAAGCTCTTGAGCAACATCGTGAGGAGGAAAAAAAGGAGGATATCAACTCATTTAACTTGCAAGTTGTTTTGCACGCAAAGGATCCCAAAGAAGAACAAGGAAGACTTCTTTGTACAATGACAATGTTTAAAGCATTTCAGAAAGAGCTTTTGGAATGCTATGGCTATGTTGGAATAAAGATTACTATGGAAGGTTCTATTAGTAGATATTTGGTGCAGAAATGTGGGAATGGGGATGAGAGAAATACTGTTGCCTTCAATGCGAATAACCTTACTTTTAGTTGTAGTTGTAAAATGTTTGAATTTGAAGGCATGCTTTGTAGACATGCACTTAAAATATTCCAGATGGTTAACATAAGGGAACTTCCATCTCGCTACATCTTGCACCGGTGGACTAAAAATGCCAAGTATGGCATTCTAAGGGATATTGATTCTGCTGGTAGCTCGCAAGATTTCAGGGCTTTGATGCTCTGGAGTTTAAGAGAGGAAACCCGTAACTATATTGAGGCTGGGGCAACGTCTATAGAAAGATGCAAGCTTGCTCATGAGATTATGCAAGTGGGCAAAAGAAACTTTTGCTGGCAAAGCTAATGTATATCCGAGACAAAGGTCAGATTCTCCTTTTCTTTTATTTTTTGATGATGTGGTGAGAGATACTTAATGGTTGATTTGTAGTCTGAATTGATTCTGTAAGTAGTCATCTGATATGTCCATGTGATCTATTGACAGTAGCTTGCTGTGGATGCCAAGTACTTTACTGTTTGTTAGAAAACTACTTATGAAATTTTTATTTTGGCCACTAACGGCCTTGATGTCAGAAAATTGCTCTTGTATGGAATGGTGTTCCTCCGTGAAGTTTAATATCACAAAAACTGACCCTAGAGGAAAATCTTTTGGCGTCATAATTTTATGGATGTTAGAGAGACATAGGGTTATCATTTAAACTACAATGTATGAGTTATTCAAAATTTTTAATTCTTTCACATTATAGTTTTTCCTTCTGAGCCAGCTCATATGAATTGTATTGGCTTATTTTGTTGCTCCTTGTGCTGATCTCACATATAAGGTGCACTTTTCTTAATCCTTTATACTTGGGTATGTAGAGAAGAACTAATTGAAAGTTTCAGACTTGCTTTTAGTACCAAGTGTGGATGTTTTCTTGGTGAGTGTACAGAGGGTTCCTCTTGTAGCAACTTGGAAATTTTCATATCATGGTGAGAGGCAGTGGTTAGGTATGACTGGTGTTCTAGGAGGCAGTGCACTACTTATGGGGAGAGAGGATGTGTAATAGCTTTTGAGTAGATGGGTGGGACTCTTTGAATGGTTTAGCACATTGTCACCATTTCCAGGTAAGCAAGAATTAACCAGGGGCAAAACTAAGCTCTATAATTGTAAGAATATAGGCAACGCATAGTCTTTTGAAACGCTTCAGGATAATAGTTGACAGCATGTCAAACTTTAATTTGTTTGCCTTTTGAGTAACTTCTGTTACTTCCATCTAAAGGGCCATGAATGTAAATAAAACTGCTCAAGCAAAGTGAGATATCAATCAATGATTACATTTTGTTTCCTTGAAGTTTTTGGGTAGGGAGGTTCTTGTTATTTTAATATTTTTATTTATTTGTTCTTTGTTAAAGGACCTATTTGGCTGAGCATTATCCTAGTTTGTATATTATCAGCTTGAGGAGGTAGATTAACCTGGGTGATCCATGTGGTTGGACAAATGGGCTCAACAACACAATTTTGATGCCCAATGCGATGAGGTTGGACTGGATACCCATGGCGGTAGTGCGGATGTGGATTTGACTCCGCTTTGAACAGTTGGGTATTATTTTAATACAGCTTTGGTATGTAAGCTGCCTATGTAGAGATCACGTATTTTGTGAGAATATCCATCTAGTGATAGAAAAAGCTTTTTCATGTACTATATTTTCCCCGTTTCTTGAATATTATCTTACAATGTAATTTATCAAATAAATTATTCTGCAATTAATGTTTACTTTTTTTTTTTTTAAGGCAACCAAATTAGCTTACGACAGAGAAACATCTCACATATGCTGACTGCCAAGTGGAGACTGCTTATGGACTATGCTGCCAATTTCTTTAATTTGAATGTTCTATTGCTGCATATTGTGAAAAGCAGAAGATACGTAATCAAACTGAGCTATTTGTTGTCATTTTCCTTGTACATTTTGTTTGATAGAGTGATTAGAGCCTTCTATTCCCTCTCTTGATCGTTCAAATTGAGGCCATATTTTCAAGCTAAAGACGGAAAAAAAAAAAAAAAAAGAAAAGTAAGAGTGAAAAAAGAAAAGAATTATCATTACAATGGTTGCTTTTTCACTTGCTTCCAGGCTGCAACAGAAGTTCTAGCCAGTGGTTTAGTGGGCATCGTTTCAAACCCACCTCACAGATTTCTCCATGTCATTCTCGTGGAAATGTGAAAGTCAATAGCCTTTTTTCTTTAAGGGTAACTAATGGGATGAATTTCTTACTGTCTCATTGAACTTGTAAACAAAAAAAAAAAAAAACTTTTATATGCTATCTGACCAAAGTCTGTATTGCACGGAAACACTACAAGAAATTGTGCTATTTCCGATGGACAAATTCCGTCGGAAAAAAAGGAAATTCCATCGAAAAAACAGTTTCCGACGGAATTTCCCGACAGCTTGCTATCCGTCGGAAAAAATCTTGTCGGAAATTTTTTCCAACAGAAAGAATTGAGCCATCGGAAATTTCCGACGAAAAATGTCCGTCAGAAAAAAAAAACCTTTCGTCAGATATTTCATCTACCGATGAGAAAAAAGGACGGAATTTCCAGCGGAATCTTCGTTGGAAATTTTCGGCAAAAGCTTCCACCGGAAATTTCCGGCGACATTCCGGCGGAAGTTCCGGCGACTTTCTGGTAGAAGTTTCCGATGAACTTTCCAACCATTAAATTTTCTAACGATTTTTTCGGCCTATATTTCTATCAAGTTTTACAATTTTTTTATTAAATATATTTTTATTTACAATTGTTTTCTTATTTTTTACATTTTTTAACTTTCAATCTGAAATTTTTTTAGACTTTTTATTTTTAATATTTTAAATTATTTTATAATTTTTGTAAAATTTATTATTTATTATTTTATATTTCATATTTAATAAAACAAAATGTATTAAAAATAATTACATAAAAATAGAAATTAAATATTTAAATTTACAATAAAATTGCAGAACGGCCGACCGATTCTTTCACAACGGCGGACGATTCCTCAACGGTAAATATGGCAGGTAAACTGGCAGTTGAGAGGAAGGGGAAGAGAGAGAGATAGAGAGAGAGAGAGGAGAGAGAGCAGGCTTGAGAGAGTCGACTGATTCTTCCACAACGGCAAACGATTCTTCAACGGCAAACATGACATGTAAATCGTTGGTTGAGAGGCAGGGAAAAAGAGAGAGGGAGAGAGAGAGGGAGCCAGTTTGAGAGAGTGAGAAAGGAAAACAAAGAAAAAGAAAGACAAACGAAAGAGAGCCAAGTGAGAGAGCAGAGATGGAGAGAGAGACTGAGTGAGAGAAAAGAGTTGCGAGACGATAAAGAGAGAGCAGCAGATAGAAAAATTTTAAAAATTGAGTGAGAAGGAAGAGTAATAAAGAAAATTATTTATATTAAGAAATTTCCGACGGCTTTCCAACAGAATGCCGTAAGAAATTATCACGGATTCCAAATAACGGATCCGTGACATCTTTTTGGACATTTCCGACGGACAAGGTTCCATCACAAAGCCCAAATCACGATCAATTTGGGCGCCCACTGTTTGGGCACCCAATGTTTTTAAAACAATGAATATGGGCGCCCATATTTTTAAAATAATTAAATCTTTATTTTATTAATGGTTATAATATAATGTATATTATATATAATACATTTTTTAACTACAAAAAGTAATTAATTTTAATAAAAATTTTAATAATATATATAATATATGGTATACACTATTAAATTTAATATTACATACATATTTACTATATAAATTTAGAATATACTTTCTAATTATAAAAAAAAATTAATTTTAATAAAAAAATTAATAATATATATAAATATTATCTATACAATATATATGGTATATACTATTATTATATAAAATTAGATTTTTAAAATAGTATACATTGTATATATATACTATATACTATATAGTATATTTATACTATATATGTAGTATTATGTATGTACTCTTAAGTATAAATATATATACATATTATACTATATATAATAACATATATATATATATAGTACAGATAATAGTATATGTACACACATATAGTACATATTTACTATGTGTACAAAATTTAATAGTACTATATGTATTATATGTACTATATATATGATATAATATGTAACATATATTATTTTATATTTCATATGCGATAGTATATATTACAATATATGTATATACTATATATGCTATGTATAGTACATACAATATATAGTGTATATATATATAATATAATATATTTCTTTAACTATATTAAGTAATTAAATCTAATAAAAAATTTTAATAGTACATATAGTATTATTATACTAAATTTAATATTATATGTAACATAATATATAGTATATATAGTAATACATATATATATATATAGTATACAGTAAATATAGTATATCCTTTATTACATATCTACATATATTATATTATATTATATATATAAATATATACTATATATAGCATATACTATAAATATTATAATTATATTTATATAATTATTATAATATAATATTATAAAATGATATTATAAATATTATAATAAAAAAAGCAGACGTACGTGGGAAAAGCAACGGGATATACCCCTGCAGAAGTAAACCATCTTTTTGACAATTAAATTTTATAATAAATAAAATATGTTTTCCGATGGACAGATGTCCATCGGAAATAATTAATTAATAAAAATAATAAATAAATTATTTTTCTGACAAAAAATGGTATGTCGAAAACTAATTAAATAATAAAATTAATAAAATTAAATATTTTTCCGACGGATAGATGTCTGTCGAAAATAATTAATTAATAAAAATAAATAAATAAATTATTTTTCCGATGAATAAGTGTCTGTCAGAAAGTAATAAAATAATAAAATAAATATTTTTTTCGATAGACTATTGTCTGTCGGAAAATATTTAAATATTAAAATAAATATATTTTTTGACAGAATTTTCCATCGAAAGGCTGTCGGTAATATATTTCTCTGCGTAATTTTGTTTTCCAATGGACATTTCGTTGAAAAGTCTGTCGGAAAAGCGATGATTTTGTTGTCCGTCAGTAATTTCTATCGGAATTTTCTCTTTTTCTTGTAGTGAAAAGAAGTCTGAAAGGATATGTTCTATGCGGTGCAAGCTAATGGTGATTCATTTGCCAGGAATATCACTCTCTCTTTTATCTAGGTACTAACCCAATTTGTTAAGGACGGCATTTCTCTTAATCTATAAACTTCATTTTGCATTTGTACACTTCTGATAGAAATGCTAATATAGCCCCTGAGCAATAGGCTGTTAGCAAATTAGCCATGAACTTTTAGTTCATGAAATTACCCCTCTGAACTATGTAAAATTCTCCCAATAACCACCTGAATCAACTCTTTTCCGTCAAATAGTTGACTGCCTGTTATTTTCTAGTGCAAAGAGTTGTGGGTTTATAAGGAGGGAAACCAACATTTCTTATGCTTCAATTTTGCTTTATGGTTTGAATTTATTTATGTAGGTAGTTTGTGTTATGTTAGTACTGTTTTTCTGATAAATAAGTCTACCACAATAATTGAATTTTGTGATGATCAATAAACGAACTATCACAATTGCTTTCTAAACCCAAATCCATTATAAATCTCTCCAGCTACTTTTCGCATAGAACTGAAGGACGAACGCGAAGGTATTTGACCTGAACCTGAGAGCTTTGAAGCTCCCACGAAGTGGACTGTAACTATGTTTCAATGGGAATGTAGTCTACTGTTTTTATGGCAAGTTAAAATCAACTTGAAGGAAATGCAGATGGCAATGGCAAGAACGACGGTGACAGAGGGAACTCGTTGGTGGAAAGGTGGCAACGACCATGGCTGCTGCAATAATAATAATAATAAAATATTAATGAAAAAAAATCTACTTGGTGCAATTGTTGGTGAAGTGTAATGCTATATAGATTAGCCATATTATCGGATAAAATGAAACCTGTTACATACGCCATGCTCTACAACACTATGTCAAACTGAGGTAATAATTATGTCAATTGGTAACGGTATCCCCTCAAAATT